TGGATCCCTTTCGAAACATTCCGTATATGTCTTTGGATACACGCGTTCCTCACAAAAGACTCCATGATGAACTTGTCAAGGCTGTGAAACAAGAACAATAACCCTTATTCCATGTCCATCTTAAAGGAGTAATAAGTAACCTCCTGCAATATCTGCTTAATATACATCTGTCAATAAATTAAGCACCACCCTACATTTTTACCAAGTAATTTTGTCTGAAATGAAATTTTGAACTTTACCAAAAATAACTATAAATAACCGAAAGTAATAACCGATTGTTGTGTGGCCTATAAATTCGTTATTTATGGTGAATGGATGAAAGTGTGTAAACTAAGATTTAGGAAAAGTTACAGTCAAACTAAAAAAAGGAAAATTTTAAAATGCGGTAAAAGTTGCTTTACAAACAAAACAAACAGATCTTAGCTGTTATTATCAGTATCTGGCAAGGAGAAGTGTTCATTCATTACAATACTCAAAATCATAAACAATTTATTCCAAAATCGTATTAATATGGCCTTTTTCAGTTTTTGTCAATTAGCAATCTGAATTTTTGGGAAAAGGTCTGAATCTTTGACATTCGGGTTCTTATTGATTATGTATAATTAAAGCTTACTTGATGTGTAAATGTCATCTTGGTATATAACAGAATTGTTATTTTTAGTCAAAACTTAATTTAATTGTGTAGTTGGAGAAGGAGAGGAATAGTTATTTGGGGTAAAATTCAGTCCCATCACATTTTCATCAACATATTCTTTCTTAAAGAATAGAATAGGTTATGGTATTTGTAAAACTGTCAGTGGATAAAGCTTCTTTAACTACAGGTTGATTAAATTGATGGCTATACCCTAACATTTCTGTAGCATCACATCTTATTTTCAAAATAGGGCGGTGCTTAATTAATGCGCAGGTGTATGTATATATACAGCCGCATTGTATGACCATTATATGTAGCAAAATACTGACTTTGGAATCTAGTTATCATTTTGTTTTATTAGGGGACTTTAACAAATCGGGTGATCAAAATCGGTTCTTTTGCTTATTTCGTGCCATCATACACTTATGATGTAAACAGTGTTTACAATATCAACCACTGGTTTGTCTGCCGAAGTCTCAGGACTTCAATGAAGAACTGAGTCTTGCTGCGTTTTAAACCAAGGAAACTTTTACAAAATTCATTGAAATGAAACGTGTTAATACTGTAAAGGAAACGTGGAATCTTGTTCACTCATGTGGGAAATATTACCTTAGTGAGAGCCATTATAATTATAACCATTAAAATTAATAAAGGTGAGGTGAGGTGAAATTGGGTTTAACGCCGTGCTTGAGAATATTTCACTCATATGATGACGTGCATGCGTGTGTATGTGCGGCTGCCTGTACTAGCCCAGACTTAAGCTGGTTTTATAGTGCTAGCCCACTGACATACCATGCCGCAGTGAAGTATGAATACCCCACTCAGACACATTATACTGACTCCGAGCCGACCAGTCCTTGATGTACCTATTAATGCCGAGCGCCCGGGACCAACAAGTGCCACATTTCAACGTCTTTTGGTATGACGCGGTCGGAGATCGAACCCGCGACCTTCTGCTCTCGGAGCGGACGCTCTAAAAAATTGATAAAGCACTTGAAAGAGACTTGGTGATAGTTTATTGCACATACAAGAAACTGTCATATGACAGGAGATCATGACGTAGATAATGATGCCAATGTTATTACTTAAAGTACAGTACCCGTAAAGGTCCGGGTTAGAATATTGATCTTCAGTGACCCATGCTTGTGGTAAGAGGCGACTAACGGGATCGAGTGGTCAGGCTCGCTGACTTGGTTGACACATGTGATCGGTTCTCAGTTGCGCAGATCGATGCTCATGCTGTTGATCACTGGATTGTCTGATCCAGATTATTTACAGGCCGCCGCCATAAAGCTGGAATATTGCGGCGTAAACTAAACTCATTCCCTCACTCACTTAAAGGACAGTAGTGTCAATGTATGTTGGTTACATTGATCGATCACTGTATTAGTACAATCATTACAACAATCAAGACAATGTAACAAATACATAAGATATTTATATATTTGGGGAATTTTCAGGACATATGAGTATTATATTTTTACAGAAACTCAATTATCGTATTGTTTTTCAGTATACATTCCATTGTATTACTTTGTTCAGGCACTTTCCATAAGACTTCGCATGTCATGATGTGATTTCAACTGATATTTATTTCTTCAGTGGTAAGCTGCTTGAATGAGTGAGTGAGCTGGGTTTATGCCACTTTTAGCAATATCCAAGCAATATCACGACGGGGGACAACATAAATTGGCTTCACACATTGCACCCATGTTGGGAATCGAACCCGCGCCTTCGGCATGACTAGCGAACGCTTTAACCACTTACCATCCCACCGCCACCAATCTGCTTGAAGATTTGACACACAGTTCTATGGCACATCGGGTAAACAGTAAGTAAACTACATTTTGTTCACGCCTCGTTTCTGTAATTTTATGTCAACAGAGAACACACACATGACCAGAGCGTTTTCCTCACTATGGAACTCCCGTAATGTTGTAGATGGCAATTGCACAACAATGTGGTGGCCCTGTCATAAGAAAGAAATATGTAACATCTTTTTATTATACCAACCCAAATGAAATGCAAATGACCATACTATTAACAAATGAAAATACTATTGAATCACAAAACCTGTCAATGTATATGTATTTTGCATTTATACCTAGAAAATATGTTTTAAATCTGTACTCTATAAATATTTGGCACATGCTTTTCTGTTGCTCAGTTGTAAATATTGTGTAATGTATCGAATACAGATTGACTGAAAAGTGTTATAACTGTACCTGACAGGAAGTGGAATTAGGTTATTTCCTGTTTGTTCGTTGTGCATCATGTACATTCTGGCCTGGGGACCAGTGGAACTGAAAGTTCACATGCTTCTACGCAGCAATTGTTTTACTCAAATTTGTTTAATGTGTTAGAATTATATTTTATATTTTTGCTAGAATTCTATATGGTCTTCTCGTCAACTGTTTTTGAAAATTATTTTCATGACCATTACTGTGCCTGGTTCAATTTGATTAAGTTTGTGGTGTCATTCAGTAAATATTTTTCAGTGTTTTGAATGTTAGAAATTAATCTTAATTTCGATATAATTTGCGAAACAGGAAAGATGATGTGTGCAGTAGAGTATGTGCAGAAAATGCCACCACGTAAAGGATTGGCTGGAAGACTGGAAAGTTAATAGGATATAAGGACCCGTATAGTTTGCCATTTTCAGACCACATTTCACGGATTTTGTTAACAATACACATTTTTTAAATGTAAAGTTAACAACATACACATATTTTCTATTGGATGAGTGGTCACATGGCCGGCAAACTGAGGTTCAATGGTATATCATCAAAATCTTTTCCCGCACCTTCGTTCATCACGTGTCTCTATCCTTGAAATAAACCATAAACACTGAGAGACATCTTCCACGTTCCTGGGAATACTGAGTGTGTGAGTGAGTATGATTTTACGCCCCCTTTAGCACTATTCCAGCAATATCATGGCGGGGGACACCAGAAATGGGCTTCACACATTTAGCTATGTGGGGAATCAAACCCGGGTCTTTAGCGTGACGAGCGAACGCTTTAGCCACAAGGCAACACCAACGCCCCTCCTGGGAATAACCCGTAGCACGAATAATGTAGAAGCTCTGTTTCGTTTCGACCTGGTGATCTCGACCTCGGTCTTTTGTAATGCATTGAGAGAATCCACATAGTTGGGGAATATACTGGCTTCACACCATGCTAGTAAACAAGAGAAGTGACATTAAAACTGAGGACTTGATCTTTGTGTAGAAAGACAAGTAACAGCCAAACACAGTCTGTATATTTACCGAACATTCTATCAAACACAAGTTTCTGATGATCATTCATTCATCATTGATAAGTAACACTTTTAGTTAGCACCGGTTCCTGAACAACTTTAACAATATCTCTCATCTTACCTCACACATAAGTGTCGTTTTCTGATTGGCTGAGCCCTCTTTTATTATTTTCAATGTACCCCGCTTACAAACGATAAACGTTTTGCATGTTACCCGCTGGGAACGTCGAACTATGGGAGTTCATTTGTTACTTCATGTTAGTAATGCTTTATCTCGAGTCAAGTATGATGTTTAGCGAATGCAAATAGGTGGAAGGGAGGTAACTCTTAATTTTTCTTGTCGTCTGCTAGATTCTATGTCATCTGATAATGTAACGATTGTCGGTATTGGTTAATTGCTTAACCCTGGTACACCTTATTATGATCCGGTACCCGTGCTTCAAACAGTTCCAAATTTACATTGAGGTGTTCGGTAAGATAAATACGCTGTACACAGTTCCCTCGTGGTCTATAGGTTGACACAGAGAACATAAACAAACATAGAGGGCACATCAACCCCTCGTGTCTAGGACTGCAACGATTCGGTTCGATTTATCGAAAATCAAATCTGACACCTTAATGTCGATTTCCGATAACCATTATCACTAGTTCGATTCGTTATTGTAATACCTATTTAAATTATTTCCACGCAGCCAGAACGTAAATTTGACTCCCAACTCGAGCAGTTTCGAGCGAAGGCGTGATTGATTGATTATTATCCAATGAGAATTCTTGTTAGTAGTACCGCCAAGTTGACGATGGATTTAACGCAAAAAGGACTAACTCTGAAAGCTTAATAAAATCTGATGTTTTACCTGTATGAAGAATGAATGGAAAATGATGGAATCGAGGGTCTAATATCGAAAATCGAATCGAATCGAGGTCTGTGTGAATCGTTGCAGTCCCACTCCTGACCAGTGAACAACAACTTACAATGTTACGTTAATCGTGTCGCCCATTTCCACGTTCTGAATCTGTTACATGTGGTACACTGTAATAGTGCTGAAACAAATATGTGCTCATGATATAGTCACAATTGTGCAACCGACTCTGATTTTAGCAGAGTGTATGAAATCAGCCAAAAACCCAGCCAGACATCAGGGCTGGTAACTTCAAAAATGTACCATCCCAGAAGAGGTTTAACCAGTCAGTGCCAGTGGGCATGTTATGGAAATATATTTTTCCGTCCGTCCATCGGGCTGGCTAGCTGTAAAATTAGACCGTCCGGCAGAAATCTAGCCCGTCTTGGGCGGTCGGACGGGCCTTATTTCATACACTGACCTTAGGTAGTTCATATTAGGACATAATTTCGTATTGTATTACTTGAATCTATTTGTTTTAACACGACAAGATATTCCTCTGCCACATGTTGATCATACAAATGACCATGTAACTTCTCCCTTTGATGAACTCCCCGCCTAGATATTGCTTGGACATCGCTAAAAGCGGCGTAAAACCATACTCACTCACTTTGATGAATTATTTTGTTCCGCTTTACAGATGAGCGTTTTAAGGTTGTGTATGCAAGCTGACAATGGAAGTTCCGCTATTTGCGTCAGGTTGGCATGAAGTAACTATTTTCCTGTTGTCTACCTACTAGCAGAGACTTTTAAAATGCGATAGTTTGTTCCAACGCAGTTGATTTATCTGACATCCGATGTCAGGATGACATAACACCGTGTAAGGGGAAGGCCAACTGTGAAGAGCTGCCTTAGGTAGGAGATTTTTATGAAGACGTCAGTGATAGGAAGGAAAATGTTGGTATATTTCGTGATTTGGCACACAATCGTTATAAAGTAGGAAAAATACAATATGATTCAGAAGATCTATGTTTGTCAGTCGGTATTTGAAAGCTTATACTGAAATTCGTATTAATTTAAAGTTAAATATCAGACAGACAGACAGACATATTTATTCAGTAATGTGGGCCTAACGGCCTATAATACAATTGAAATTTACAATATTTTACAATGCCACGTGATTGTTTCATATATATTGTTTAAACAGATGTTTAAAAAAACAGAGCAACTGATTTAATATTAGAATCTTTGGAGTGTAATACATGTATCATGCTTTGTTCACATTGGGGCATGGCATTCAGCTGTGGCAAGTACTTTTTCCGAATTTCATTATATTTTGTACATTGCATAAAAACATGGTATTCATCTTCAATCGCTCCAAGATTACAATTTTTACAGATACAACAAATTTTCCCTCTGTCTTTATTTCTCCTGTAAGTAACAATTCTAAAATTATGTAGAGATATTCTAAATTTACAAACTGCTCTTAGAAGAGACTTATCATTCAGTTGTAAAATATAACATTCAGGCTCCAGAACTGCTTTCAGCTTACAGTAGTTCGTTAAATAGTACGAGTTACAAATAGAATCATGCCAAGTTTGTTTGTATATGTCAATCAATCTTTCTCTAAACTTCACTATAAACACATTTGCATCACAACATTTTGTAATATCCACACAAATGATAAACCTGTTTTAAACAGGATTGTTCTAATGTTGGACACCCAATTACATTTTCCATTTTCATCTAAATTTTTAAGTAATACATAACATTGATATGGGTAACGATTTACATTCATTTGCAACAACTTAATCCAATACTTAATACATCGTATTTGAGTTAATATAAACATATCACACCTACCAGTTTCACCAAGTATGGCCTTATTGGATGCAAACTTTCCCACCCTTAAATATCGTTTAAAATATGAAGTGTGCACTTGCTCTATTTCATGATGATAATTATTGCCCCAAATTTCACTTGCGTATAATAAAACAGGAACAATTTTCGTATCAAATATTTGGCAGGCTGTAGTAAATGAGATAAAGCTATTATACAGAGAACATTGCTTTAGTTGCCTGTGCAGCAAGAGACTTACAAGCGTTTGACCATAAGAGCCTTGAGGAGAATATTAACCCTAAGTACTTATAGTAAATATATCGGATGTATAGGGCCATACATAACTAGCAAAGTGCTTGTGGTATGTCTTGATTATAAGTGTATTTTAAAACAATGCCTCTGTAATATCCTGGATGAACTGACGAGGAAAAGTTGATGAATGTTAATGGTTGATGATATTTGTTATTATTCGTTATTGCTCTTACGGCGTTTCTGATAACATTTGGTGTCGTACTTAACTAACTCCGGGGCGACACCGGGACACGACACTACAATACTACGACAGCACATACACAGACACAACAACACGGCAGGACATGTATAGACATTACAACACAGTGAGGGTACGACACGGTATTACATCACAGCCACAGACACAACAAGACGGCAGAGCAATCGACATTACAACACAGTGAGGGTACGACACGGTATTACATCACAGCGACAGACACAACAAGACGGCAGAGCAATAGACATTACAACACAGTGAGGGTACGACACGGTATTACATCACAGTGACAGACACAACAAGACGGCTGAGCAATAGACATTACAACAAAGTGAGGGTACGACACGGTATTACACCACAGCGACAGACACAACAAGACGGCAGAGCAATAGACATTACAACACAGTGAGGGTACGACGCGGTATTTACACCACAGCGACAGACACAACAAGACGGCAGAGCAATAGACATTACAACACAGTGAGGGTACGACACGGTATTACATCACAGCGACAGACACAACAAGACGGCAGAGCAATAGACATTACAATACAGTGAGGGTACGACACGGTATTACATCACAGCGACAGACACAACAAGACGGCAGAGCAATAGACATTACAATACAGTGAGGGTACGACACGGTATTACATCACAGCCACAGACACAACAAGACGGCAGAGCAATAGACATTACAATACAGTGAGGGTACGACACGGTATTACATCACAGCGACAGACACAACAAGACGGCAGGGCAATAGACATTACAACACAGCGAGGGTACGACACGGTATTACATCACAGCGACAGACACAACAACACGGCAGGGCAATAGACATTACAACACAGCGAGGGTACGACACGTGATTACATCACAGCCACAGAACTTCACGAAGAACTGTTAACTTTTACTATTACGAAACCTTACAGAGAGTCATTTGATTGTCATGTGAGGCGATAGTGTGGCCCAGTGGTAAATCGTTCACGCATGACGTCGAAGACCCGGGTTCGATTCCCTACATGGGTACAATGTATCCCCCGCTGTGATATTGCTCGATTATTGTTAAACTCACTCATAGCCCCTGTGTAGGCCAGTTTACTCCCTGTTACAATGTCACAGCACACATTTGAAATCTGTTGTCCGTAACCGCTACCAGATACATGGCTTTAGTCACACCAGTCATTTCAATTGCTTAAATACGCTATTGGTAAGACCCCGTGGAAACCCCGGGTTAAGTGTCCAAAACACATCACAAGAGGCGAATGAATGTCTCGGTTGGGTGTTTGATTGTGTGTAACCCTAACAGAGTGCACAGCGCTTTACCCCCTGGGTGCCAGAGGGACATATATGTGCTTTTTCTTCAACCCTTACTTTGAACATATGTTATAATAAGGATTACACTTTCTTTCATTTCTTTTTGATTCAACCCAAAAAGTACTAGAATCTGTACTTTACAAAGAAAGTGTAATCCCAAATATAGTATAACTCCATACCTGTGACACAGATCGACGAGGCGCTTCAACGGCATCACTACAGCTGTTGGACTGGTTATGGCATCTGACATACAATCACAGGTTAAGGTCAATACAACCATAAGACAATATTTACGTTATCCAGCAAATCATTATTTTGGTTATTCATTCGAAGATGCTAATATCCTGAGGAGATTCTAAGATGCTAAGATGCTTAGATGCCCAAGATGCTGAGCAGGTTTCTATTTCGCGAGCAGTCGTTAACGCTAAAACTGTCATAAGTATTCGTTAAACTGTGAGAATTGCGACCACAGTAGCTCTACCGTACCATTGCTTCATGAAACGGACCCGTGAAGATGCAGGTTAGATTTGGTCTTCAGCAACCCATGCTTGAGTCGACTAACGGGATCGGGTGGTCAGGCTCGCTGACCTGGGGCTCATTCCTCAAAGCGATCGTAGCGCTACGACAGTCGTAAGTCTATGTTAAAGTATGGGAGTTACGATCATCTTAGCGCTACGATCGTTTTGTGGAACGGGGCTCTGGTTGACACATGTCATCGTATCCTAACTGCATAGATTGATGCTTATGATGTTTACTCGATTACTAGTACTTACACATAGCTCTCATACAGCTGGAATATTGCTGAGTGCGGCGTAAAACACCAAACCAACTAACCAGTTAGTATACCCATAACAAATATCGGTCCCGAAAACAAAACAAATAGAAAAATATCGGTCCCCAAGATAATATGAGTGTGTCTCCATGGCCAAAGCGAGAAATACCTGCTTCAAAAACACATGGTCCACAGCCCCCATGACGATGCACTTACATCTGCGAATAATGTTGTATGGGAGTCGTCAAAAAATCGCCCATGCAATGTTTAGCCATGCTGTCTCTGTGTGTCATTGTATACCGACACTGTGGACAGTTAGTTGCCCAGCAAACTATTTTGGCCGAACCGCAACGCTAACTGCAACCACCTGGAATATCGGAGTGCGGCAAAATGTTCCATTCACACGCTTAATAATGATCAACACATTTCGATTCTATCAGACACATAAATCCAAAGAAAGGCCAGGGCTCCGTTTCGCGAACTGATGGTAGAGCTGTGATTCTCACATTTTAAAAACACTCATGACAGCTCTACGACTCCTCGTGAAATAGGAACCTTCTCAGCATCTTGGGTATCTTGGGATCTCAGCATCTTCGAATAAATAATGAATTTGCTTGATAACGTAAATATTGTTCAATTAATCAATCTTTATTCAATACTCAAAGGCCATATGCCTACAGTACAATATATAGTAGTACAATATAGAGCAGTTTTATATACGATATTAGTATTATGTTTTCATACAATTATGACGTTCAGACGACGCTCGATGGTGATTATTCTTTTCTGAGTTTCATAGCGAGACATATAAACTTAGCACCATTCGGAATCATATCATGGTTGTTGCAGTTTAATAAGGAATAGAATTTATCTATAGATGGATGGGCATATACAAATTCTTTAAGGTACTTTCT